AAGTTACCGTTACAGTTACCAAAAAAAAATGTAACGCAGTTACCAGTAAGTTACTAAAAAAATTAACTTGTAACGGTAACTAGTTACTTCCCAACCCTGAATGACAAGGCAAGGGACAAGCGAGCAGGGAGCAGAAGGTGCAGAGGGCAGCCACTCCGGTGCCCGTAGAGTGCAGCCAGGACACGCAGGGCATTGACAGCGGCCTTTGCGAGGTCGACAGCCAGATCATAGCCGAGATATTGACCCAAAGAGCTGACGAGGAGGTGAGCAAATTGCTGGAGGTGGGCACACAGCCCGCTGGTCAGGCCGAACGAGTGGAGGACCAATCCATGACGGTCGAGGTGCAGGAGGAGCAGCAGCCAGACGCAGCCGAGTCGCAGCATACTTGTTACACGAACCTCTAGGGCGTGTATATACTCAGCGAGAGTAACTTTTTTAATTTTTATATGATATTTTATTCAGAGTCTTGACACATAATTTTATTGAGCCCACGAAGATTGTGATTTATTTTATTTTTGTTTTATAATACTTTATAAGTCATTTTGCATGTAAACTCACGAAGTTAGGACGTGAGGTACCGAAAGGGTACGATATATATAAGAATAAGTACACAGCGTTACACAACGTTACACTGATCACACTCAAAGTACACACCCAGTACACTTGTGAAACATTAAATAATCATTGATAATTACATTCTTTCATAAATAAGAAACATTAAAACAGTCATTCACCTACCTTAAGTTTAAGCCTGAGAGCAAAAATAAAGTCACTAATATGGATTCGGACAAGTTCCGTATTATTGTACTATCATTCATTTTCATTTTGTTTGCTATCTCAATAGTCTGCATATTACTTTTAGCGTATTCGCACAAAGCCGGTTCACAGTCTTACTATTTACCGTAGAAATTAATAAGCATGAAATTTTCAGAATACCTAATCGTTTCTCCAATTACATTTTTACCGTTGATAATCAATTTTCCAGATCCTTATTTAGTTTTCGTACTTTTTACATTATTCACTACTTACATTATGATTTTGAACAATCCCGTAGGGGAATGACATATCCACACTTTTACATTACACTTTTACACCTTTTACACCTGTCAGATGGGAACACTCACCTGAGAACACCACCGATAGAGGTGCGACACTTTTTGACACTTTGCACACCCGCGCGTTACGAGCGAGCGGGCGAGACGAGCCAACGTAGGCTCTACACTCAACGAACACTTTAACAACACTTTTGATATACTTTTCACTTTATTTGTTATACCACGATAAATATCGCTAACAATTATGATTCATTAACAGAAAAGGGCCAAAAGGAGTCATTCCAGGCAAATACATATGATTTACTACACTTTATTGCAATTATGCTGATTTTAGTTTACACTTTTCTACACTTTTATGTTACTTTTACACTTTTGCATGGCAATGAGCCAATTTAATATTATATTCATTAATTTGCTAACTTTTTAATCTTCCCTGTCAATATAAAGACTAATTATTATTCATACATGCGTGCGACAGATTCAAGTCGCTTTTATTATACTTACCAATGATTTATACTTACCGTTAATCACCGCCGGTGACAAAATGAGACGACTCCTTGAACGATCCGGGATACCTGAAAGAAAAAGAGAGAAATTAACAATGATTGCGTTATACGCATACTTACCTGGTTTCGTGAGGATTCGTCAGTGTGACTTTCATACGAGGAGAGTCACTCGGTGCAAGCCAAGTGACTCTGCGTCCGCTTACGCGAAATTCGCGGTGCAGCGGCGCGATTGGTTCACGCGCGTGCGATAGCCAATTCGCGTCTTTGCACTTTTGAGAGCGGCATCTCACAAAAGGTGTAGATGCCGAGTCATTGTCAGCGACTCGGCATAGGGCTTGATGTACTTTTCGTACAAAAGAAGTCGTGTCATTTACACCCTTGGCACGACCGGCCAATAGCGTGACTTCGCGCCCGTTTGAGCGTGTCGGCGCATGCGTTGCGTTTAGGTGGGAGAACAAGACACCTATGTGAACCTGGCACCCGACTTTTAAAAAATTAATTTTTTTTACGGAAAACGTTAGCATTTTGTTTGTAGTTGTTTGTAGTAACAAAAATTTCGTTTGTAGTTCAATACATTAAAAATTATAAACATTTAAAAAATGACTCGCATCCCACTTTAAGATATCTCAAATCCGCTTGCGCCATCTTCTTCAGAACCGTTTGTAGTTGTTTGTAGTGCTTTTTTTTCGTTTGTAGTTAAACCGTTTAAAAGTTACAACAATTTAAAACATAATAAAAATCTAATTTTGCCAATTTTTGAGATATCTCAAATCCGCTTGCGCCATCTTCTTCAAAATCGTTTGTAGTTGTTTGTAGTGCTCTTCTTTTTGTTTGTAATTGCACCGTTCAAAAGTTATTATATTTTTGCAATAAACAAAAAGTGTAACTTTGCCAATTTTTGAGATATCTCAAATCCGCTTGCGCCAACTTCTTCATAATCGTTTGTAGTTGTTTGTAGTGCTTTTCAGGTATCTCCAAAATTAGCAGTTAGATTTTTATTATTTTTTTAAATTGTTGTAACTTTTAAACGGTTTAACTACAAACAAAAAGAAAAACACTACAAACGATTCTGAAGAAGATGGCGCAAGCGGATTTGAGATCTCAAAAATTGGCAAAATTAGTTTCTTTTTTAATTTTTTAAATTTGTTGTAACTTTTAAACGGTTCAACTACAAACGAAAAAAAGCACTACAAACAACTACAAACGATTCTGAAGAAGATGGCACAAGCAAATTTGAGATATCTCAAAAATTGGCAAAGTTACACTTTTTGTTTATTGCAAAAATATAATAATTTTTGAACGGTGCAACTACAAACGAAACGAAAAGCACTACAAACAACTACAAACAATTCTGAAGAAGATGGCGCAAGCGGATTTGAGGTATCTCCAAAATTGGCAAAATTAGATTTTTATTATTTTTTTAAATTGTTGTAACTTTTGAACGGTGCAACTACAAACGAAACGAAGAGCACTACAAACAACTACAAACGATTCTGAAGATGGCGGAAGCGGATTTGAGGTATCTCCAAAATTAGCAAAGTTAGATTTTTATTATTTCTTTAAATTGTAACTTTTAAACGGTTTAACTACAAACGAAAAGAAAAACATTACAAATAACTACAAACGATTCTGAAGAAGATGGCGCAAGCGGATTTGAGATATCTTAAAGTGGGGTGCAAGTCATTTTTTAAATGTTTATAATTTTTAATGTATTAAACTACAAACGAAATTTTTGTTACTACAAACAACTACAAACAAAATGCTAACGTTTTCCGTAAAAAAAATAATTTTTTGAAAGTCGGGTGCCAGGTTCACATAGGTGCGTGCAGGCATCATGTATGCTCAGAAGAGTCTCGATCTCGGTCGTGTTCAGACGTCGATTACAATATAAAGTGTGATATATTATATATAGAATAAACAGAGTACTCAGAGTGATTGAAAAGCTGAGGTGATTATTTCCTGCCCATCTCGTCACATCTCGCAGCGTTCTCAGCGATATTAACAATAATAATAATAAAGCTTGATGTTTTTTTGATTTGACGAATGTTTTTGGACTTAACAAAGTCTGCTTGACGAAGTATATACGTATAATTTGTATTAAATTTGTACATAAAATTAATTAACATAGATAAATTTTATAAATATATAAAATAATATTCCATTTATATCTAATATTTTATATTAAATAATATTTTAGAATAATATTTTAGAAATGCAAAAAGAAAGATACCTTTATATATAAAAAAATAATTTTGAAAAATTAAAAGATAAAAGATCGTTTTTAAGTATAATCATTATTATAAATTGCTGGATTATAATCCAGTGACTGTTCACTTATATCCGACAGATTTGTACTGCAGTCTTGATCATTATGTACTTCCAGCCGAGTATCGTCGGAGTTCATAGACTGACATTTATATAAAAAAATAATAATAATTTTGATAAATAAAAGGAAAAAGATATCTTTTTTAAGTATTAATCATCATTATAAACTGCTGGATTATAATCCGGTGACTGTTCACTTATATCTGACTGTTCGGTCATATGCGACAGATTTGTACAGTCTTGATCATCATGTACATCCTGCCGAGCATCGTCGGAGTTAATAGACTGACCATCCTTTTGTCTTCTATTTGAGATTCTTGCTCTTTTTATAAAAGACTCTTCAGGTTCATCATTTTTTAAACATCTTGGTCGTTTTTGTTGTCGGCGAAAACGCTCTTTTGTACTTTTATCATTGCATCCTCGAATTCATCACGCCGTGGCTTAGGAAAATTTAAATTGCTACTAATGGCGTCTAAAGATACATAACATATTTATGTTGTTAATATTATGAAATTTTAATTTTCTGCAAATTATACAACATATTATTACTTATTTACCTTCACAAGCATGTGCAAAGCGAGTAGTTTTCAAAGCTTTTAAATCTTTTGTACCATGCCAAGTTACTTCCAATGAAGTTTTTTCAGCATTTTCAAAAGCACATTTGAAATATATAGCAGCACAATCTATAGGATTTAATTCACCTAAATAAATAAAGTAATCAACCTAAAATAAAATTTAAAAAAATATAAAGATATTTTTTGTTAACAAATATAATTTAGTATGCATAAACAAACATGAAATTTCATAATATTTTACAGAAAAAAAAAGAAAAAGGAAAAACCATGCTCAAGCTCTTGACACACTTTAAAATAATAAATTTAATAAACAAATTTTATTAATAAGAAATCATGATTACCATAAATTTATTTTTATTTACTAGCTGTTAAGAAAAGTAAATAAGTATAGTATACAATTTAAGGAGGTTCTACAGGTACTCTCTAGTCAGTTGAGAGATGAAGAGAAAATATTCAAATTCATCAATTCCAAGTATTCATAAAATATTTTCATAAATTTTAATGACGTTAGAGCTCATGTCATACCCATATTAGTCGAAGCGAGGAATAATTAAAAATATCGTGTAAGTGGTCCTTTGACTCCGGCTTATACATACGAGAAAATGTAGCAACGTCGCAAACTTGAGTCTCGCTATTCTGCTCGTATGTGACCGTGTTCAATTCAGTGACTGGTGTTTACTGTTTATAAATTAATAATGACTCCTCCAAGCCCGACCAATTCTTGGAGAAATAAGAATAGAATTTTGCGTGGTATTAATAGAGGAAAATTCGCAAAAAAACAAGTTGTTCTTCGAATGGAAAATGCCCAAAAATCATTGGCAGATAAAAGGTTATGTGAGGTTAGTAATATTTTCAACTTTAATCATACATGTGAAAGTTATTTACATTACTATATTACTTTTACTGTTTACACGCGCACGCGCGCGCGCGCGCGCGCGCGCACACACACACACACACACACACACACACACACACACAAGCATTCTTATATACTACTCATATACGTATAAGCAAAAATTGAAATATTCATTTCAGACCAAAAATTGGTTCGACAAATGCAAAAATGTCATAGATGGGCGAAGAATTGTTGACTTGGCTCATTTAGCAGCAGAACTGTGGTGCAAAGAGTGCAATTTACCATTATCGTTAAGATATGCTACTGATGAATTCCGATCAGGCCTTGCTAGTATCATCACAGTAAAATGTACAAAATGTGGGAATAGTTATAAGGTCACGACCAACGCAGAAGTGCCTGGTGATGCTCATATGTACTACACCGTAAACCTGAAGGCAGTTATGGGTTTGTATTTATATAAGCTTGATTTTACTAATTATCTAGTTGTATAATATAAAAAATTGAATTCATTTAGGAATGATTGATGCAGGTATTGGAGAAACCCATCTCAACACAATTTTATCAGCGTTAAATATACCACCCTTGAACCCAACAGTAGTGAAAAGACATGAGAGAGTTGCGGGCCCTGCAATCGAAAGCATAGCCAAAGACAGTTGCAGAGAAGGTCTTCAATTAGAGAAAAAGTTGACTTTGAGTGCTTTACAGGAAGATGATAAGTGAGTGTTTTAGCAGAAGTTTATAATTATCGAGCATATCAAATTGAATCTGTATTTGTAACTTTATGAAACAAAAATAATAGTACAAGTTTTAGAGACATAAGCTTATGTAGATATAAAAATAATTCAATATTTATATATTTATATATTTTTCTAGTTACTTCTGTAAAAGTTCTGCGTTATGCGATAATTTTACTCGTATGATTAAGATAGTGATAGAGAAAATCAGATTAGTTATAATATTTACACAAATGTATAAGTTTACATAAGTATATAGACATTTAAGTTCTTTTTACATTGTATCTTTAAATGTTACACCAGCTCTCAATGTACAGTAATTATATGTATAAATAATGGTTTTGAAACTTAGGTTTGAATACCTAAAAAGTTACCCATCTTTTTTCTAACCGAATCCTTTCAATCAACGATACACACTTGCTAGACTAAACATTTCATTCCCTCTATACGTCCTATCTTTCCAAGACTGAAGCTCTTTAATAATAAAAAGAGACCCTTTAATCGAAGACTGGCCATAAGAGGGCCATTTTTCATTGGTCCAACATTTTTCGTCAAAAGCAGAGAAACAGAAAGAGAAAAGAATAGAAAAGAGATAAAGAAAGAGAGAGAAAGAGACAGCGATAGTGATCCGAATGTACATCCTTCTCACTCGCTGGATTTTGGCGAAACATGGACGACACGCTCTTATGGCCAGTCTCTGATTAGAAGGTCTCTTATGTTATACGGTATGAGGATTGTGAGCAGGGCCATAGGTTTTACTTACATGACTTTTTGACTCGCATGTGTGTTGTATGTACTGGTTTTCATCACACTTTTTTATGTTTGAATGCTTTAGAGAACAACTAATAGAACAATTCACAATTTCTCTTTTTTACAAAATTGTTAATTAATTTCATATCAATGCATGAAAACTTGAAAAATAACTTTTTAGTATTAAAATCTAGATTTTGATTTTAATTCTCACTCTTTCATAAACGTATATTTGTGTGTGATTTGAATTAGCAGGAATGTAGATGATAAAGAAAACAGCTCCAACATAGTAAAAGAGACTCCAGAAGAAACAGGTAGCAAAACACCTCTAAAATTTTCATTTGATTGTGGTTGGCAAAAGCGAGGGACGGGGCATGCTTATAATAGTCTATCAGGTATCAGATATTTGTGTAACAAGTGCGGGAAGTTGAAAATTGGACACGGGTGCGGAGTGGACGCACGAGCCGAAAGCGAGTGCGATCACCCGCACGCGTGTCCAATTTTCAACCCGCACGTGTTATACACACTATTTTATATTACACGAGACTGTGCGGGAATGAGATATTACCGCACTGTTTTGAGTGGTGTGTGGAATTGGCTATTTGTCGCACAAAAAACACGCGCGTAATGGGCCACTTTCCACGCACGTGTAATATAAAAATGTTTTTCTAAATACTTTCCAAAAGTACAATATTACATACCCATACAATATTGTTTCTTAGGTCATTCCATGATTATCGGCTACCATTCAGGTAAGGTAGCTTCGTATGCAGTACGGACTAAGCAATGTAGAAAGTGTCAACTTGGGCACTCCGAGACAGATCACGACTGTAGACGGAATTATAATGGAAGTGCGAAAAGCATGGAGCCAGATATGGCAGTGGAACTTTTTACAAAAAATGAATTATTTGAGGAGGCAGGAGTGTACGCTTCAGTTATTATCGGTGATGATGACTCCAGCACAGTAGCTGGTGTTCGTAGGAATGCTACTCACGAGATTGAAAAGTGGTCAGATTTCAATCACACACTGAAATCGTTTACCTCGGCATTGTATTCTATGAAATTGTCGCCAAAACTCATTGAATATTTTTCTCGATGCTTCTCGAGTGCGGTCAAACAGAATAAAGGCAATACCGAGAAAGTGAGAGCTGCATTGGAGGCAATAGTTCCTCACGCGTTCGGGGATCATCAATTATGTGGTGATTGGTGCAAATCGCATGTAAATAATAACTATAAGCACAATAATCTGCCGCATGGAAAGCCACTTGCAGATGAGGAGTTGCGTGAGAAACTACATGCTCTTTTATCGCGATTTGCAAGAAACGCGGAAAAAATCGCTCCATGTGGTTGCACACAAGCTAATGAATCGTTAAATAATGCCGTAGCGAGCAAAACTCCAAAGGCTCGTCATTATTCTGCATCGGAATCTCTTCATTACCGCGTAGCTACTTCAGTATGCCAAAAGAATGATGGTTATACGTATATAGCAAAAGTATACAACAAGCTCCTGCTTTCTTCTGGCAGTGCTCGCACATTAGCATATCGGCTACAAAAAGATAAAAAAAGGGAGATCAGGGCCAAGCTCTCCAAAACTAAAGAAATCAAAAAAAGAAGACTTTATGCAAAGAAACAACGATCTATCGCCACTGCATCAAGACAGCGGCAAGAGGGATTGACTTATGAATCTGGAGTATCATGCTACAACGTTTCAGATTTATTTGAGAATACTCCACGTGCAATGAACGATCCCAACAATTTTGAAAATGATAATTACAGGATAGTTTACTTTGACCTAGAAACTACAGGTCTTAGAAGTACTGACCAGATTTGTCAAGTGATTAAAAAAAATACTATACAGTTGAGATAGATTTTTGTACAAAAATTATTGAGACCTTTTTTTAGATAGCAGCATATGATGGGGTATCAACGTTCAACGCCTACATAACTCCATCCATACCCATCTCGAGTTCAGCATCCGCAATAACCGGAATGCAAATCATCGATGGGGATATGTATGTACACGAAGATTTGGTACAGACAATACCCGTGCGAGCTGCTGTGGACGGATTTTTGAAATATCTTGAGGAGATAAGCGGCAAAGAAAATAGGGCCTGCCAGATAATTCTTTTATCCCATAATGGCCTCAAGTGAGAAAATATTTGTTTTCAACCGGTCAAGTAACTGTATAACATTTGCTTTTAAAATTTTTAGATTTTTGACTAATTATTTATTCAACTTTTTGGGATCCTTGAAATACGTAGAAGCCATTCAGCAAATGATAAGGCTGATAAATAAATAATGAATTACTTATGTATTATTGCAAATTTTATTATTTATGACAGAGCTGATTACAGTTGCTTGCTTTATTGGTAGATTTGAGAGTAAGGTTTATTATTTTCTGTACATTTGATCTATTATTCCATACAGATTCGATGTTCCAAGAATATTGTCTCTAATTGTTAAATTGGGAGTGATGGAGACCTTTAAAAAAACAGTGAGCGGATTCGCAGATACTCTCGATATTTTGAGGAATGCACTTCCAGAGAGGCGAAAAAATAAACAGAGCTTTTCGGTAAAAGCTCTTTTACAAGATTTCCTTCCAGGCGAAAATCACGAGAACCTTCACAATGCTGTCGATGATGTTATCATGTTGAAAAAAATTATCGATTATTTAAAAATAGATGATTTGCTGATCAAAAAGTTTGCTAAGAGCGTTACAAACATGATAGATGAAAAGAATAGAAAATCCATTATATCCGCTAACAAAACTTCGCTACGATCAGTATACCAGAACAAAATTTCAGCAAATCAAAAAATGGCTAAAGCAGGTATAAACAGAAATATACTAGAGGAAACTTTCACGAAAAATGGTTATGATGGTATCAGAGTTTTGTTTGGAGAGAGCATCGATGGCAAGGCTCGAGTCACTACGTCAAAAAAACTAATTGACAAAGTTTATTCCTTGTTCTCAGATAAATAAAGATATAAATTATATGTTTTGTTGTTTATTGATAAAACTTGTATTTTACATAATTTTAGAACGAGTACTCCTCCGTAAGCGCTCGTTAGGTTAGGTGCTTAAGTTTGAAGTGCTGTCATATTGTAGTGCTGTACTGACTGCACACTTTCCGCGCGGGTGCAGTCGCTGCGACGTTGCCAAATCTCCCTTGTTAATCGAAGCACGCTACGTGAACTGTGATATGGCCTGTTTCAATAGCCAATATCACAAAATTTTACGCGGTAACCCTTGTTTTTTTCGATATTTTTGAAAAGCTTAGATTACGATTTATAAGAACTCCGTTTTTTGAATCTCTGGTAGGCCGCCTTCATATAATTAATATCTCGTTTCCTATCTCCAGGAACCCCTCTGCCATAAGAGCTCATGAAAAACTGCAATTTCAAAATTCATTTTTGCACATTTTTACACGGTAACCGATGCTAAAATTTTTCGAGCACTTTTCTCGCATCTCAATTTATACGTCCATAAAGTTTTTTCTAATATTTAGATACATCCATTATCTGTAGAACCTCCTTAAAACTGCTATGTACAGAAAAAGTACACGATACAAATGTTTCTGTTTTGCGTGTGTTTTGTTCCTTTCAGAATGTTACGGTAATAAATAAAGTAGATTTTTTTTCATAAAACAGTAATAAATTAAGATAAATTTTTCAAAAATCGCTATAAAATTTAAATAAAAAAATGTAAATATTAGAAATTGAAATATAGAACATTAGTGTGACTGTGGCAAAATCCAGTCTTCGTTTCAGATTATTTTAGAATCAGAGAACTTGAATAATAAAGTAGACATCCAATAATTAGTTTTAGCTAAAAAATTGATAAAGATGATATAATGCATACTCGAATGCATTATTGATCAGTATTAACGGTATCTTACGGTAACAAACTGGTGACAGCAATGTGAAATGGTATATTATAAACAAAAATTGATATATCTGCAACTTTTGTGATCTCTGAATTTTCTGGAACAAAGTCTTATGCATCAAAATTATTATTAAAAAATTACAAAATAATTAAAATAAAATAGTACAATTGCTTTATCACAGAAAATAATTTATATTCTTAGCGTAAATAAAATAAAAATTATTAACTAAAATACTTACAACTTCGTTATAGATTTCATCACTTGCGTCGTTAAACTGCATTAAATTTTCTATAGATTTAAAGGAAAACATTTTCGATTGAACCATTCTATTTGTTATTTTTGTTAATCGCAATAGCATCGCATGGTTCTCACTATAAGAATATAAATAAGTAATAGTGTGAAACGTAATTTTTTAA